GACCAGTCGCTGGAGAAGGATATCATGTTTGGTAAGGTGGAGGGTCAGAGTAAAAGAGGAAGACCCTCAGCGAGATGGATTGGCCAGGTGACAGCATCGATGGAAAACAGTTTTCAGGTTGGCCCAGGATCGGGCAGTGTTTCGTTCTGTTGTGCATAAAATTGCTATGAGTTGGTACCAACTCAATGGCACCTAACAACAACAACAAATCTGTTGTGTGTATCAGTAGTCTGATTCTAGCAATTTAAATACTGGCCATTCCTCCCAGCTTCATGTTAGTCTTCCTAGTCTAGAAGCATACATTCTAATCAAGTCCATAATAAAAATGTGCATCAAGATAAAGGCAGAGATAGACCTGTAGCACAATCAGATGTTCCAATATTCCCTTTCAAGCTGAGAGCAACAATCAACACTTTGTACAGTTGTTTAATTAGGAATCTGACAGATTTTATCCTCTGTCTAACCAAATTTGTCTACTTGTTTCCATGTACTTAGAGACTATGAGGAAGAAGAAAGTTAAGAAAATGTATTACTCTTGTGCCTATCAGTGTCACACCTTATTGAATACCTTGGCTAGGGACCATGTCTTAACTGTCTTCTGGACCTGGTCATGAAAAGCTATCACTGAATATTTGCTGTTAAAAGTGCTTCTGGTAGACAAGAGTCTTTAGTTAGTGCTGCCAAATGATTCAGTACTGTCCAGAACCTCCGCCTCTATTATGAAAGGCAATTTCAGAACTTCTGTCTCTATTTGCTTTCTTGTAACTTTCCTGAATGTAACTACTTGGGTAATTGCCAATGCCTTTACCTCAGTTAATCTCCTCTCTCTATGATGACCTCTCATCTGCTTCCCATTATTAAAATCCTAGGTCTAGATAACACTATTTAGTTGTCTATCAATCCCAGTGCAGTCTATATGATGTTTTCACTCTCATCCATAAGAATATTCTCAATGTGCTGTAGACACCAAGATTCAATTTTACAGTAAGTAAAGGCTTTCTTGCTACAAATGTATCACACTGTGGCCACATACCAAATTTTAAAAGGCTATGGGTTATTCAAGAGTATCTACTCTTTATTTATAAAGTTGTTTCCATGGGAAATGTATTTTGTGGTGGTAGATGACCCAAAGGAAGCATAGATGAATCAGAAACAAGTGTCCTCTTTCGCTTCCCTTAACAGCAGCTGAGACACTATAGAAAATATTGAACTGACAAAGTGGGTGCTTGGTAACAAAAGTCTCAAGTCAACTGGCAGTTGGGCAAATACATAGGTTGAGAATGAGGACAGAAGGGAAAGATGTGGGCAACATCCTTGGATCCACTTCCAAAGAGAATATATATGTGACTTCTATTCTCACCTAACAGGAGCCAAAATAATATGTTTCTTGACAGCCCTGGGGACCTGTCTGTGAAACAACAGCTGCCCAACATATTTAAATAATGTTGATGCTTAACAAGTGAGCCTGTTCCAACCCAAAGTATAACTAACAGGGCAAGTTTTACAAATAAAACTGAAGGAGCCAAATGGCATAAAAACAGACTAGAGATAAGGCAAAAGTATGGGAAGAGTCCAGGAATGCACTTAGGAAAGCTGTGAACTGTTGCCATGGAACTAGCAGAAGGAGAAACAAGGAGAACTCATGCAAGACAGAGTTATATTTCAAATAATTTTTAGAAAGGTATAAGGGAACTTACCTTGACTAGAAGTTCAGTTACTTCATAATGACCATAAGAACAGGCATTATGCAATGGCACTAGATCACTAGAATGAGAAAGGAAAAAAAAAAAAAAAAATCTGTCTTTTCAAATTCCTTAATCATTTAACAGTAACAACAAGGCCTATTTTATTTAACTTATATTTTAACTGAAATAGCAAATAGCTTACATGATCTTCTGAT